CTGGGAGGGGCGCGACGGGGCCTGGGAGGGGCGTTACAGGGCCCAAGAGGGGCGCTACGAAGCCCAGGAGGGGCGCGACGAGGCCCAGGAGGGGCGCTACGGGGCCCAGGAGGGGCTCGACGGGGCGCTACGGGGCCTGGGAGGAGCGCGACGGGGCCCAGGAGGGGCGCTAGGGGGCCTGGGAGGTGCGCGACGGGGCCTGGGAGGGGCGCGACGGGGCCTGGGAGGGGCGTTACAGGGCCCAGGAGGGGCGCTACAAAGCCCAGGAGGGGCGCGACGAGGCCCAGGAGGGGCGCGACGGGGCCCAGGAGGGGCGCGACGGGGCGCTACGGGGCCTGGGACGAGCGCGACGGGGCCCATGAGGGGCGCTAGGGGGCCTGGGAGGAGCGCGACGGGGCCTGGGAGGGGCGCGACGGGGCCTGGGAGGGGCGCTACGAAGCCCAGGAGGGGCGCGACGAGGCCCAGGAGGGGCGCTACGGGGCCCAGGAGGGGCGCGACGGGGCGCTACGGGGCCTGGGAGGAGCGCGACGGGGCCCAGGAGGGGCGCTAGGGGGCATGAGCGGAAGCGGGAGGTGGGGGGGATCCTACCTACGCGTGATACCATATCAGAATTAGAATTGAATGATGGTAAAGTGAGAGTACACACAAATATACCTAAGTGTTGTACCCTCTAAGAGGTAACCCTATACAGTCTATACAAACATAACAAATACAGATGTTTGACACTAAGCTGTTGAGGCGTTTCAATGGATTGCGGCTGCTATCTCACCATGCCTAAAAGACTCAACTGAGATTCGTGGTATAATGTAGCTGGAAACGTGTACGAGGCATTTGACATGTATTGACAAATTTAATTCGTAGGGTGGATTGGTTGTCCATTCGAGATGGCCCGATACATACGTACGTGCTAAGCTCCAGCGAACATGTTCCCCAAGATCCAACCAACCTTGGGAATGTCGGTTACTGCTTGGCTTGACTTTTGAACTGTCAGGACGTATTCAAGGAGCTTGACTCTCGCTAGCAGCGAAGAGACTACGAGCCTGGAGTCAGTATAATGTCAATTTCATGCCAGTTGCTTTTTCGATGCCTCCGACCACACGACCAATACACTTTGTTCCCTTGCAGAAATTCGTCAATTTTGTCGTACTGAAGACCCTCTACTCGTCCCTGAATCCATTTTCAAATACGCCCTCAATTGCCTCTTCCCTTCCTGCTCGCTCATCCGCTCAAACCTTCAAACCTTGCTAAAAATGAAGCACAATAGTCGAAATGGCAGTATGTTTTATCAAGGGGTAAGGTGTCAACTTATACATATTAGTTATGTAGAAGTTATAGGCTAGACTGAGGTATGCTTCTAGTGAGTACAACCGACTAGTATTTGTTCTAGGTTTCCACTTCTAGTCCATTATTCAGTTCTTACTTTAACATGGTATCACGCGTAGGTTAGAATCCCCCACCTACCGCTTCCGCCCGTACCCTAGCTAGGCCCCGCCGCGCCCCCCCCCCCCGCCCCCCCACCCTAGGGCCCCGTCGCGCCTCCTAGCCCCGTCGCGCCCCTCCTGGGCCCCGTCGCGCCTCCTGGGCCCCGTCGCGCCCCTCCTGGGCCCCGTCGCGCCTCCTAGCCCCGTCGCGCCCCTCTTGGGCCCCGTCGCGCCTCCTAGCCCCGTCGCGCCCCTCCTGGGCCCCGTCGCGCCCCTCCTGGGCCCCGTCGCGCCTCCTAGCCCCGTCGCGTCCCTCCTGGGCCCCGTTGTGCCTCCTAGCCCTGTCGCGCCTCCTAGCCCCGTCGCGCCCCTCCTGGGCCCCGTCGCGCCTCCTAGCCCTTTCGCGACCCTCCTGGGCCCCGTCGCGCCCTGCCTGGCCCCGTCGCGCCTGCCTGGCCCCTCCGCGCCTGCCTGGCCCTTCCGCGCCTGCCTGGCCCCGCCGCGCCTGCCTGGCCCCTCCGCGCCTGCCTGGCCCTTCCGCGCCTGCCTGGCCCCGCCGCGTCTGCCTGGCCCCGCCGCGCTTGCCTGGCCCCGCCGCGCCTCCCTGGCCCCGCCGCGCCTGCCTGGCCCCGCCGCGCCTGCCTGGCCCCTCCGCGCCTGCCTGGCCCTGCCACGCCTGCCTGGCCCGCCGCGCCTGCCTGGCCCGCCGCGCCTGCCTGGCTCTGCCGCGCCTACTTGGCCCCGCCGCGCCTGCCTGGCCCCGCCGCGCCTGCCTGGCCCCACCGCGCCTGCCTGGCCCCGCCGCACCTGCCTGGCCCCTCCGCGCCTGCCTGGCCCCGCCGCGCCTGCCTGGCCACGCCGCGACTGCCTAGCCCCGCCGCGCCTGCCAGGCCCCGCCGAGCCTGCCTGGCCCCTCCGCGCCTACCGGCCCCGCCGCGTCTGCCTGGCCTCTCCCACTGCCCGCCCGGCCCCGCTTCGTGCCTGCTCGTCCTGCCGTGCCACCTCGGGCTCCGTCTACTCTACTCGCCAGTGCTGGGGCGCCTCGCGGCCGCCGTGCTGGAGAGTGCTGCCGCCGTGTCCCTGCGTCGCTGTGTTCCTGTGGAGCTGTGCCGCTGACCCTGCACGATGGCTGACTTCGTGTTCTGACTGGACGTCGAGGGCCATGCGGTTGACTTCGCCGCCTGGCTCTCCAATCTCCGCCGCCACCTTACAGGTCAGCGCAAGGATGGCCACTCTTTGGTTGTCCATGTCGACGGCTTGCTCCCCCACCCCTCCGCACCTGCTCCCCTCCCTGCTGACCCCTCCTCTGATGACTGTGAGACCTTCTCTACTGCTGCGCTTGCCTGTGCGGTCTGGGACTCCCGCGATGCAGTCGCTCAGGTTGCTATTAGCCACGCCCTCCCTGTGTCTGAGCGCTCGCGCTTTGCTGCTATTGAGACGGCCAATAGCAGCACAACGCGACTACAAGCTTCACTCCCTCTACTTCTCTACTGCCTTTCTTCAGGGCAGCCTACACGAGCAGGTCTACCTACGCCGACCACAGGGCTTTACTGGTACCTTCCCCCCTAGGACCCAGTGGCTTCTCAGGCGCCCGGTTTACAGCCTGCGTCAGGCTCCTCGCGAGTGGCATGACACGCTGCAGGCCACATTGGCAGACCTGCAGTTCTTTCCGTCCTCTGCTGACCCCTCGCTGTTTGTGCGTTCCGGCCAGACTCCATTCTACATCCTTGTCTACTTGGCACGATCTGGTCTTCGCTACGCGCACAGGGACGCACTGGCCTCTGTGAAGACCGAGCTTCTGAAGAGACACACCTGCACTGACCTTGGAGAGCTGCGTCGCTATTTTGGCCTGCAGATCGCTAGGGACAGAGCATCACGCACCATCACTCTGACACAGCCAAAAGGGCTCCAATTTGAACTGGAGGTAGGTCTTGTATCGGGATACCTTGAGGGCACTTCAAATCTTGCTAAAAATGAAGCACAATAGTCGAAATAGCAGTATGTTTTATCAAGGGGTGAGGTTGGGAAAAATAAATCACCCGCCCCAAGGATATTAAAATAGGCCCACAGCCCAATTCCGTGAACCAAAAGAGCCCAAATTTGAACTGGAGGTAGGTCTTGCATAGGGCTACTTTGAGGTCACTTCAAACCTTGCTAAAATTGATTCACAATAGTAGAAATTGCACTATGTTTTATCAAGGGTTAAGGTTGGAAAAAATAAACCACCCCCCTAGGGATATCAGAATAGGCCCACAGCCCAATTACGTGAACCAAAAGGGCCCAAATTTGAGCTGGAGGTAGGTCTTGCATAGAGCTACCTTGAGTTCAGTTCAAACCTCGCTAAAAAGGATGCACAATAGTGGAAATGGCACAATGTTTTATCAAGGGTTAAGGTTGGAAAAAAAAAAAAACCCCCTAGGGATATTTAAAAAGGCCCACAGCCCAATTTCGTGAACCAAAAGGGCCCAAATTTGAACTGGAAGTAGGTCTTGCATAGGGCTACCTCCAGGTCACTTCAAACCTCGCTAGAGATGACGCACAATCGTGAAAATGCCACTCTGTTTTATCAAGAGCTTGGGCTCCCCCAAAGCTCCATCTTGTTGCAATGAAATAGATAGTTTTCTATACCTGAAAAACAAATAGCACACTGCTGGAAGCCTTTTAATTGTGTGAAAACCCAAATTCCATAAAAAAAAAAAAACTATGGCTTGTTCTGGTGACCCTGCACTCTAAGACATGAAATGAGAGTGTTGGGCATGTGTCGTCTTTTTAGTGCCACCTCAACTTCGACATGTTGAATTTCAGAAAGTTTGGAAACACCTTCTTCACATTGCAAATTTACTGGTAGGAACTCCAGTGAGGTGATTTTTTGTTTAAAACAAGGCACAAATGTAAATGCAAAACGTGGGGCAATTCTATTCTCCATTTTAATAAAGGGATGCAGAACCAAAGCATACAACTACTTATATGCTTCCAGTACAACTCCCCCGAACTGTACAGGCTCGAACTCGGCGAGACAGTCTCAACTCAATGCGAAATTTTACCATCCCACACGACGCTCGCGACGGGAACCGGGGCTCGCTGCGACGTCGTTATAGTCGTTCGACGAGGTTGGCGACAGCACCACCGACCGATAGAGGTTGAGAGGTGTGTAAAGGTTAGTGTGGTCCTATATCTGGAGGAATGTCGGTTTCTGGTTGGTTCGACTTCGGATCCGTCAGGACTTATCCAAGGAGCTTGACTCTCGCTAGCAGCGAGAGACTACGAGCCTGGAGTCAGTATAATGTCAATTTCATGTCATGTTGCTTTTTTCGACGCCTCCGACTGCAGGACCAATACACTTCGTTCCCTTGCAGAAATTCGTCAACTTTGTCGTACTGAAGTCCCGCAACTCGTCCCTGAATCCATCAAATACGCCATCAATTGCCTGTTCCCTTCCTGCTCGCTCATCCGCTCACTCCACCCCAGGGATGTCCAGCCGTGACTGCCCGTTTCCACACACTAACTGTTTCAGGCTAGCCGAACTGTTTCGGCACCACGGAAAATGGGTGGGTGGGTAGGGAATTCACGCGATGCCTT